ATACACTCAAATAGATCCAAAGGGACCAACAGAAGGGAAACACATGTCCAGCATTCCCAAAGGATTTATAAATACCCCCACACCCCTCAAAGGTACGGGATTCCTCCTTTAGTATTTCTCTCTAATACTCTCCATTCTTTCTAAAGAGCTCTAAGTGTAGACTATTGCTGACTTAAGTATCGGAGTGTCTACCCCGAGAACCACCCTCGGGGCTTTGCAGGTTTATTGGACAAGAAGATTTGAGCAAGGAAGGCCTTGAAGGTTTTTTGCAACAACATTGGCGTCGTCTGTGGGAACCGAATAAAAAGCTTCATTTCTATGATGATCCGATTGATTGGAGGGAGGAGAAAACGAGTGAAGGCCTCATGGCCTATTCACTTGAGTTGTACTATTCACTTGAGTTGTAGAAGCAGATCTGATGAATTTACACTTGAGTTGCAGAAGCAAATGTGATGAAAAGGGTCTATTCGCCTATGAAGAAGAGAAGCTTTCACAAAAAAACAAACAAGGGAGTAGCTTTGCACAATTATCGAGGCAAGTTACAATGTCAGCCATGAGTATTCAAGAAGCAAAAAAATGTTAGCAAAACACAAACTTAAGCTAACTTAGTGGGATCCCCAAAAAAAAAAAAAAAAGAGCACGGGACCATGAAAGTTCAAAAAAAAAAAAAACCAAATTTCTCACAAATGTGGCGCCCTCGGTGAGAATATGAGCTCGAGCTTGATGGCAGCAGCAGAGCAGCCCAACTCGACAGCAGCACAACAACCCAGCTCGGCAACAACCAAACGGTCCAACTTGGCAACAGCAGAGCAGCCCAGCTCGGCAGCAGCACAACAACCCAGCTCGGCAGCAACCAAACGGTCCAGCTTGGCAGCAACAAAGCAGTCCAGCTCGGCAGCGCCAAAGCCCAAAGCAGCGCACCAGCTCAGTAGCAGCACAACAGCCTAGCGCGACAGCAACCAAACGGTCCACCTCGGCAGCAACAAAGCAGTCCAGCTCGGCAGCGGCAAAGCTCAAAGCAGTGCACCAACTCGGGAGAAGCAAGGCAGTCCAACACCATTTAGCCTTTCTCAGCAAACCAACTGCTTAATTTCACTGCACAAACAATTGTTTTTCCAACGTCCACTACTTTCACTGCCTTCATTCTTTTCTCCATTACTCCATATTTTCTAAGATTTCATCATTTTCGAATAAAATCTCTTTCATTTTCTGCAACCATCTGCACAAGTTTCACCAGATCTCAGGAAGTAAAATCTACTACATTTTTGCAACCCTCTGAAAACCTACTCAAAAGTCTTTTTTTTTTCCCATATTTTAATTTCTCCATGATCTTTTTTCTTTCTTTCTTTTTAGCTTTTTGGATTTTACTGTTGTAGTGGGTGTAGACAGAGGTACGTGGATAGTCAGAGGTCATGAGATATCAGAGGTACGTGGATAGACAGAGGTCATGAGATATCAGAGGTACGTGGATAGTCAGAGGTATGTAGGTAGATAGAGGTCATGAGACATAGGATTTCAGAGGTCACGAGATGAGGCGTGCTGTCAGTCCGAAGTCATGTACTCCATAGTTGCCTGAGATGCGCAACCTTTGACATTTGGAGCGGCCCCTGACATCCAGCTACCTCAATTCGATGGAAGGACGACGAGCTCAGTCGGATTCAAGCTCGTCCCCTCTGCTCTTGCTCCGCAGTAGTTCTGTACACATGCAAACCCCTCATGAGAAGTACCTGCGATGTTCGACACGCGTCACCCGGATTTCTCGGAAGGATCAACACGTGAACATCCCCTGAAGGCCTATAAATACCCCTCCGAGTCCACCTTTGAAAGGTATTGGAAACCAACCTCAAACTCAGCTTTTACTATCACTCCATAACTGGTAGTTCTGATTATTGCTGACTTAAGCATCGGAGTGTCCACCCCGAGAACCAACCTCAGGGCCTTGCAAGATAGCCGAAGTGAAGACTTAAGATCTGGAGTACCTCCCAGTTCTCTGCAACTACATTGGCGCCGTCTGTGGGAATCGAGCTAAAAGCCTTTGCTAGTGGCTGTTACGATGGCTAACGCGCGCTCAACGCACGACAGAAGTCCTCAACAAGGGCACGGAAAAGATCAGTTCCTCAGCGGAAACCCCATACCTCACCCTGTACCACCTTCTCCAGCCCAGCACCAGCACATAGAGGAGACCGGGGAAAATAATCCAAACTCAGTAGGAATCCCGAACGACCCCATAGCCATCCAACTTAATGCCATGCAACAACAGTTTGGTGTGTTTCAACTCGTGCTCGCCCAACTGTCAGCTAGAGATAACCCGGGTGACCCCCTCATCTCCTTATTAAATCCCACCAACCAAGCACAAAACCACCAGCCTCAACAAAATGTCAGTTCACCAGCTCGGACTGCCACCCCACCCCCCAATGAGTCTCAAGCTCATTCCCATGTGGCACCTCAACCTCGGCAACCATCCCAACCGGCTGTCTCAGATCTTCCCAACCAACCGCACTTAAAACAAATGGTGCCCGACAACCGAAGCCCCCACATCTTGGCTCAACAAGGTTCTGCCCCTATCTCTACCCCTCTTAACACCAACATCATTCATGAACCTTACCCACCTGGGTTTAGAATGCCTCAGTTCGAGACATATGACGGTACCAAGGACCCTGATGATCACTTGCACGCATTCTACTCCGTAATGTAAGCTCAAAACGCCTCAGATGCCTTGATGTGCAAAATATTCCCTTCTACCTTGCGTGGAAACGCGCGGACTTGGTATTACAGTTTGCTGCCGAACTCGATCAGTTCTTACGCCGAGCTGGTGGGGTCCTTTGCCACGAAGTTTTCCAGTCGCCGGCTGATCAAGAAAACAACATCCGAGCTTATGCGGGTGGCCCAGAGAGAAGGTGAATCCTTAAAGAACTACCTGAACAGATTTAATGATGCGGTGCTGGAAATCGGCTCATTTAGCCAAGTTGTCAGGTTAGCTGCACTAACCTAGGGCCTCAAGCATAAGAGGTTTCGAGATAGCCTCATAAAGCACGCCCCTTCCATGTTTGATGAAGCTAATGAAAGATCTTGGAAATTTATCCAAGCAGAGGAATATGCTTTATCTGGCAGACCAACTTCAAATAAAGAGGTCAGACCTCCGATCTGGAGAGATGAAGGACAGAACAAGAAAAGATTTAAACCTACACAATACCGGGGCCCTTTCCCACCTAAGCTGGACAGACCTCTGGTACCTACCCCGCAGCTTATGGCAAAGCAAGTTGCTTGGACTCCGTTTAACTTGCCGAGGTCCAAGATCTTAATGCAGATCAAAAACAAAATGGAGCTCAGAAGGCCTCTTCCTATGCGAAGCTCACCCGCCTCAAGAGATCAGAGCAAGTATTGTGACTTCCACCAGGATCATGGCCATACTACTGAGGAATGCAACAGTTTGAAGTCCGAGCTCGAAGGTTTAGCTCGGAAAGGGTTGTTAAATGAGTACATCTCTAACCGGGACCAGCTCAAGTTCGTCCGGGAGCAGGGACGACCTCAAGCATCTCGAGATGCAAACAACCGAACTGGAGTTGGATATCAACAAGCACCACCTTTGCTCCCGCCACCCTCACGCATCATTCACATGATAACAGGAGGTCCGGAAGCTAGGGGGATGAGCTCAAAGCAGCAGAAGCTCTATGTGCGAGAGGTGAAGCACCACAATCGGGCTCAAAAAAGAAAATTTGATGAGACAGACTGGAAAAACCAACCTATAACTTTCAGTTCTGCTGATTTCGACGGTGTTGTCACACCACACAATGATCCGCTGCTCACTTCGGTCATGGTCAATAATTGTGAAGTTCAGCACATCCTTGTAGACACAGGAAGCGCTCCAGACATCATGTATTATCATTGTTTCGAGAGCCTTGGCCTCGACCCTGCCCTTCTACAAAAGTATGAAGGCCCCATCTACGGCTTCAACAATCAACCAGTGCCTGTGGAAGGAATCCTCAAACTCAATGTAGCGTTCGGCTCAAGTCGGGCCTATGTAACCCCCTCAGTCCAATTTTTGGTAGTAAAGATGGCCTCATCCTTCAACATCGTCATCGGGAGGCCAACCCTGACTGAAATTAGAGTAGTTGTCTCACAATCCCACCTATGCATGAAATTCCCCGCCCCTACCGACGTGGCGACGTTGCGCGGAAACCAGGAAATAGCGCGGCATTGTTACATGACCTCGGTCCCCTGACCTTGGAGAGACAAACAATTAGCAAACCCAGAGCCAACTCAGCCTAACGTCCCAGCCACGCAGCAAGTAATGGGTGTGGAACTGCTGGATAATAGACTTGAAGGCAAAGCCAGGGCCACTCTGGCAGAAGAGGTGGAGGAGGTGCAGCTTGACGACAATGATCCCACTAAAAGACAAAGATCTGCACCAAGCTGAGCTCCAAAGACCAGGCAGAGCTGATTGACTTTCTGAAATCAAACAGAGATATGTTTGCCTGGACCTCGGTTGATATGCCAGGCATACCCACCTCGGTTGCGGTCCACAAGTTAAGCACTCACCCCTTGAAGAAGCCCGTAGCCTAGAAAAGGCGCCTGTTCGGCGGAGAGCGGTTGGAAACCATCAAGTCAGAAGTACAAAAACTCCTGTAAGCTGGGTTTGTAAGAAGGGTAGACTACTGCGAATGGGTCGCCAATCCCGTTCTAGTCAAGAAGTCAAACGGCCAATGGAGGATGTGCGTTGACTACACGAATCTGAATGACGCTTGCCCCAAGGACTGCCATCCCCTGCGAGTATAGATAGGTTGGTGGAATTCGCGTCTGGAAATGAACGACTTAGCCTTTTGGATGCTTACTCAGGGTATCACCAGGTCCACATGGCCCCCGAAGACGAGGTGAAGACCTCTTTCTACGCAGGCGATGAGATCTACTGCTATGTAATGATGCCATTCGGACTCAAGAACGCCGGGGCCACATACCAGAAGATGGTGACGATTGTGTTCCGAGCTCAGATCGGCAGAAATCTCGAAGTCTACGTTGACGACATAGTAGTCAAAAGCCTCAAGGCAGAGGACCACCTAACTGACCTAGCAGAAACATTTAACAACCTCAGAACACCGCATGAGATTGAACCCAGCCAAGTGTGTCTTTGGTGTTGAATCCAGCAAATTCCTCGAGTTCATGTTCTCCAGGAGAGGGATCAAAGTCAACCCTGAAAAAATCAAGGCGATAGAAGAGATGAAGCCCCCGAAGTTAATTAAGGACGTGCAACGCCTAGCCGGGAGAATTGCAGCTCTACACAGGTTTGTATCGAAATCTGCAGAAAAATGCATGTCGTTCTTCAAAATCCTAAGATCCGTCGCCCATAAAGACGATGCAGGGAAGTCCAAAAAGTTTGAATGGACCTCAGAGTGCCAAACCGCCTTCAATGACCTCAAGTCGTACCTCGGCTCACCACCCCTGTTAACCAAGGCCGAAGAAGGCAAACTCCTTTACCTCTATCTCGGAGTCGCTGATGCGGCAGTAAGTTCCGTCTTAGTTAAAGAGGTAGGTAAACAGCAGAAGTCGGTATACTATGCCAGCAAGGTTCTACAAGGAGCAGAGCTGCGGTACTCCATTGCAGAAAAGGCAGCTCTAGCGCTAATCACCACGGCACGAAAACTGAGGCCCTACTTCTAGGCTCACCCCATTGTGGTCTTAACCAACCAACCCCTAAGACAGATCTTGCAGAAGCCAGAATGTTTGGGCAGACTTATTAAATGGGCAGTGGAGTTGGGTGAATTTCAGATAGCATTTCAGCAAAGGTCGTCAATTCGGGCTCAAGACTTGGCAGATTTTGTCGTCGAATGCACCTCGAACTCTAAAACCGTCACTTCTGAAGCTGAGCAATGGACCCTCTATGTGGATGGGTCGTCGAGCAGCAGAGGGTCAGGGGCTAGAGCGGTGTTGATAGGGCCAGGGAGCTTTCGAAGTGAGCATGCCTTGAAATTTAACTTTGAAGAAACAAATAATATGGCCGAAGACGAGGCACTTCTCCTTGGACTTCGCTTAGCAGCTGAGTTGAAGGTCAGATCTCTACAAGTTTACAGTGACTCACAACTCATAGTCAACCAAGTCAACTCTACATGCGAGGTCACAGATCCCACCCTCGCCAAATACTTAGCTGTGGCTCTGAAGCTCCAAAGCCAATTTGAAAGATTTCAACTCACCAAAATCTCGAGGTCCGAAAATGGTCATGTTGATTCCCTATCAAAGTTAGCTTCCGACTGCTCAAGTGGACTGAGGTTAGTTTTTGTCGAAGTCCTAGACGAACCAAGCTTCCAGAGGTCGCAGGTGATGGAGGTCAGTACCGACCTCGAAGCCCCCAGTTGGACCGATCCCATTAAAGCTTATCTCCTGGATGGGACTGTCCCAAGTAACAGACAAGAGGAGATGAAGTTGCGACGAAAGGCATCTCGGTACACCTTGGTGGACGGTACCCTGTATAAGAGGTCATACTCGCTCCCCCTTCTTCATTGTTTAACTCCTTATGAGGTCGAGTACGCACTTCGTGAGATGCATGAGGGCGTATGTGGGAGTCATGTCGGAGCTCGGGCCCTGGCCCATAAGGTACTTCGGCAGGGATACTACTGGCCAAACATGCAAGAAGATGCCAAGCAGCACGTCCAGAAATACCCGAAGTGCCAATTCTTTGCACATCTCACCCACCAGCCAGCAGAGGAACTCACCACCTTAGTGACGTCGTGGCCCTTTGCACAATGGGGCATTGACCTCTTAGGTCCTTTTGTGAAGGGTACAGGGGGCGTAACACACTTAGTCGTGGCAGTCGATTACTTCACCAAATGGTTAGAAGCCCGACCTCTTTCTAGCCTGACCTCGAGAAAGATTGAAGACTTTGTTTTCAGTTTGGTCATATGCAGGTATGGAATCCCAAACCAAGTTGTGGCCGACAATGGACCTCAGTTCAACTGTACCTCGTTTAAACACTTCTGTACCAGCTATGGGATTAAGTTGGTGTTCACCTCTATTTATCATCCTGAGGCAAACGGAATGGTTGAGTCTGTCAATAAGGCCATCCTAGAAGGAATTAAGCCAATGCTAGACCAAGTCAAAGCCAAGTGGGCGGAAGAGCTCAACAATGTTCTATGGGCCTACCGAACTACGAGTCGGACAGCCACAGGTACGCCACATAGCTAGCTTTTCATTTTGCTACCATTTCTCGCTATATAAAATAAACCCTAAAGTCACAACTCCTTATTAGGCGAAACGCCCTACCACTTGGCTTTTGGGATTGAGGTAGTCATCCCTGTCGAAATGGGCGTCCCAAGCCTACGAGTGACCCACTTCGACGCAGCTCGAAATGAGCAGTTGCTGAGAGAAAACCTCGATTTTTTGGACGAAGTCCGCGAGGAAGCTCGACTTCGGACATTAGCATACAAACAGAAGCTGGCCAACTCATACAATAGACGAGTCCGACCTCGAACCTTTAGAGTTGGTGATCTCGTCCTCAGAAAGGCAGGACTCACCAGCTTTGAAACTCGCTTCGGCAAGCTTGCGCCCAATTGGAAAGGCCCATATGTAGTAGCCGAAATCCCACATCCTGGCGCTTACATACTTGTAGACGTCGAGGGTAAAAGAATACCTAGGGTTTGGAATGTAAACAATTTAAAGAAGTTTTATCCGTAATAAAGCTTCATTTTATCCAAATTCTTATCAATTGAGCTTGAGCTCTCATGTCGACTTCCACCTTGTCTTTAAAGTTACATTTCTGATCTCTTCCTATCCGAGGTCAAACAGTTAGTATTTTTGATCGGCTATATTATTATTTTTTTTTTAAGTTCGTTACAAATTTTCAATAAACAATATCACAATAAACACCATCAATGTCCAAAATTTCAATTCATTCATTCCAATTGAAATAGAAATTGTTCTTTACATATGCTAAAAACTATCAAAATTACAAAAGGTGAGCTGGCCGAGCTCAATCAATGATCTGGAGCTGTTGGTCCACTTCTTCATTTCGGATGTTGTCTGCCACCTTCGTTCTCGGTGCCACCTCGGCCTCCTATTCGTCCACAGCAACGAACTCGAAGTCCAACGTCGGTGGGAGGACAGTCTTTCCAGCCTCGTCCCGTTCCCAAGTCAATTTAACTTCGGGACGGAACTCTACTGTCTTACTATCCCCATTTTCCTCTACCCCTGCCTCCTCAGGTCCAAACGTGATGCTCGTCACGTCCACTTCTGGATTCTGGGCCTTCACCTTCTTACGGCAATTCGCGAAGGCCATCACTAGCGTTGGCAAGCGATAGAGGTCCACCACCTCGATGAACGTGTCAGACTTGACGAAGTCTGACACATGCTTATCCACAGAATTGTGGACTGACAGCTCGGCTGACTTTTTCACCTCGGCTAGCTCAATCTCTCTTCTTTCAAGTGCCTCCTCGCACTTCTTCCTCTTTTGCTCCTCTAGCTCGGCAACCCTCTTGGAGTTGGCCAACTCCTCCTTGACCCTCTCCAGCTCCGAGGTCAGTTCACCGAAGTTCTTTTCAGCCTCCTTTTTTTGGCGACTGAGCTCTTCATTCTTCTTCACCAAGGCAATCCGCTCTTGGAGGTAGTCGAAGAACTCAACTGCCATTGCATTCACTAAGTTCACAGTCTGTACATAAGCCAAAGTCAAACACCAAATCAAAAAAAAAAAAAAAAAAAAAAAAAA